TGAAAATTTTAAAAAAAAAAAGAAAAAGAAAATACCAAATGTAATATCTACAAATCCGAGTTTCACCGAATTCAAAAATTTAAACGGGATTTTCTTTTCATAGACCTCTTGCAGTTGAAAAAAGGACGGCACATGAAGATTCAGAAGGTGATGGTTTTACAAAGAATTCTAATGCTGATATTATGCTGAAAACAACAGAGTACACGAAAGATAAACTTGAGATAAACAACTTTAAAAAACTTGGAGTCGTTGGAATAATCATACGAATGTCTTTGCCACCATCTGTGTGTGATATAGTAGCAGTAAGATGTCAGAAGACAACACGGGAAGATTCGAAAGGTGATGGTTTTTACAGAGATTCACCGAACATGCTTCAGATACTATGCTAAAAAACAATAAAAGTATACAGAAGATAAACATGAGATAAACAACTCCAGAACAGCAAAAGTATACGGAAGATAAACGTGAGATAAACAACTCTAGAACAAAAAAAAGTAGCATATTCCAAAGATTAAACATTTATACTAAAATTATACTTTAGATAAACATATGCATAAACATATGCGTAATATACTTAAGGTACTCCAAATTGAATCAGCTATGCTAAACATATGCAAAGTCAGACCATAGTGGCATAAATCCATAAGACGTTTACGTATGCGTGAGATGTCATTTGAGATGTCTGCATCCACGTGGGAATCAGTTTTTTAGAACCTCTTGGAGCATCAATTTTTTGAAATTGGAGCTTCTTTTGGATGTCCTTAAGCTCGGGTACTTGAAATTTAGATGTTCAAGGATATCGGGAGTGAGTTAATCTTGTTTCCTCTTCATTGTTGACGGATTTGACATCACTGAGGAGGTTTTTTGTGTGTTTAGGGAAGATAGAATTTTTTATTATTTTTTTTTTTTTGTTTCTTGTGAAGAAGATGCAAGGGAGCCGAGATATGGAAGAAATTGGATTATCTCTCTTACCTTAATTAAATACAGTTAAATAATTAGATTCTCTCTTATCCACTAATCATGGAAAAAAACCGTCTCTTATAAATATTTCTTTAATTAAAATCCAACAACGTATGTATGATTATAAGTTTTTGACATCGTATTATTAGTATTATTTGACTAACCAACGGTAAAGGGAGTAAATTTCTCCATTTTTTTATACAATATTACATAGCTGAAGTAAAAATTTTATACATTTTTTTAGTAATTAATATTTTTGATTGCTAATTTTAAAGATTAATCCTAAGATGTATTAATTTATGTTGTGATTCACTATAAAAATAAAAAAATAAAGAAATAAAAGGCACAAAAGAAAACGGAATATTATTATTTTAATACACTTACTACTGCTAGGTGCTCACACATCTCATACACGTCACCCGTTCAATCAAATCCAGTCCGTTCAAGCGATACCGAATCGAACGACTGATATCCTCAATCCTCGCCGCTCAAAGCCAACCAATCAGAATCGTTTCCCTAATTCTATATAAACCCCAACTCATTCGCTTACTATCATCTCATCCGTCACAAAATCTTTGAAAACTCTCACACATTTCAATATTTCTATCAGCAAAAAAGGCTGAAAGATGGCACCAACCAAAGGAGAGAAGAAACCCGCCGAGAAGAAGCCCGCCGGCGAGAAGTCACCGGCAGAGAAGAAGCCCAAGGCCGGGAAGAAGCTCCCGAAGGAGGGCGGCGCCGCCGGCGACAAGAAGAAGAAGAGGGTGAAGAAGAGCGTGGAGACATACAAGATCTACATCTTCAAGGTGCTGAAGCAGGTCCATCCAGACATTGGGATCTCGAGCAAGGCCATGGGCATCATGAACAGCTTCATCAACGACATCTTCGAGAAGCTCGCCCAGGAGGCCTCGCGTCTCGCGAGGTACAACAAGAAGCCGACGATCACCTCCCGTGAGATCCAGACGGCTGTGAGGCTGGTGCTTCCTGGCGAGCTGGCGAAACATGCGGTTTCAGAGGGGACGAAGGCGGTTACCAAGTTCACTAGCTCTTGAAGGGAAGCCCTTGGGTTTTGCTCTTTCCTTGTTCTGTTATTCTGTGTTTTGTATTGCTCTTCCATTAGGTTTTCTGGGTATCTAGGTGATTGTATAAATGCCTTTGGACGAAATCCATAATGAAATTTATGAGTAAAATTTTCTAATTTTGAGTCTATTTTATTATGTTATGATTTTTATTTGATGCCTGCGTTTCTGTTGACCATCTCTCTTTTATTGTGTGCTGTAATGGTTTCATTGAATTGTTAACAGTTGTGTTGTGTGTTTGATTTCTTCTTGCTTCTTGTAAACCATAAATTTGAATGGTTATAAAGATGATCAAAGTGATGACTTGTATAGGCAAGCAACATATTGGATTCTTATTTCAAGTTTCGAATCAGTTACTTGCAAATGAACATGCCATTTCTCATTTTCTA